ACCACCCTATGCAGGACACACTGGAGGGACCCTGGCCAGCTCCTTGCTACATCGGGAAGTCGGGGAGGATGGTCCATAAGGAAGCATCCCCCAGGGAGCTGTTCATGACAACTCAGTCCCCACAGGGTGAGTAAGCTCTCTGGGCTTCCTATCCTGCCTCGTCTCTTGACGTCTCACATTTTGAGACTTCCTGCCTCTAAAACTGGCATACAGTGGAGAATTGCAGCTACAGAAGGAATCTTGGCTTTCTCCCACTCCCATGCCCCAGGCTGGCATGGGATTGTCAGCAATGCCAATAAGTTAGACTATGACAGGAGTTTTTGGCATTGGATTAGAATATATTATTTATTTAGGAGGGGGTGACTCGGAAGGAAAAGGACCTTCCTTGTTGGGGTGTGCCCCCGAAATGAACTTGACTGACCTGCCGGAATCCAAGTGCAGAAGGCTCTGAGGGAAACAAAGGAAGCCCTGCCTACCCACTAGCTTCCCAGCAAGAAGCCAGGGCCTGAGGGAAGGCAGGGGGGTCTCACAAAGCCTGCCTTCCAACAATGCTGTCATCCCCAGAAGGGTGTGCTTGCAACATAATGGCTCTAGCTACAAATTCTATTATCTCTAATAGTTGTTCTGTGGTGAATGGATAATGCATTTAGCAGAAATAGACCCAATCAATTTATATGAAACACATAAAACTTTCTCATTGGAATTGGCATCTGTTCTTGAATCACAGGAGCATGTGTGGACATGGGCAGTCTGTCACCCTGACTTCCGGGCACATTAGCTGGGCCACAGGTTAATTAGAGAGGTGGGCCACATAGACTGATGGCTCCCTTACCCCAGCCCCCTTCAGCTCTCAGAGTCACAGAGCTAGGAACAGGACGGACGTGGAGACTGTCTTCAAACCTTGACTTTTTCAAGCAGTAGCTACCCGCCCTGCTCTGTGTTCACACAAGCCCATCTCCCAGGAGTGCTGCTACTGGAAGCAGGCTGGCTCACACACCACAGGAGAGGAGGTTACGTGAGGTTGGTTGAACAGGCCTGAGACCCGGGGTTGCGAGTGCCACCCAACCAGGCCCAACGTGGAGGTTCTGTCTCCCGGTCCGGTGCTCTTCGTGGAATTCTACATGTTTTTAATTGCTTTTCTCCCCTCTGGCAACCGATGTACACTCAGAAAATGGTAAACAAACCTGTTACTAGACAATGCAGAGGCAAAGCTGTGGTTTTGATGCCAAGACTCCAAAGTTAGGACTGTGGAATTGGGTTCTCATGTCAACTGAGCCCATTCCCTTGGTCCTCCCTATATGATATCTGAGCTTTAAGGAAAGGCTATGGGGTATTGGACCCTGGGGATCTGCGGGTCCTCACCTGAGCTTTTTAGGGGAGGGAAGGTGGCAGAGTCTGTTTGTACCTCCTCGCCTCTAATGTCATTCATTACCATGGGAGAAGGAGATGGAGACAGAGACTTATCAGGAGACAGGAGGGGAGGGAGGAAGGGAGAGCGTGAGGGGAGGGAAGGAGAGGGAGAGGGGAAGGGAGAGCAAGAGAGGAAAGGAGGGGCCTCTGCAGCCCTGTGATTGCATTAGCCTAACCATTTGGTTAGTGTAATTGCATGTGCAAAGCTGACAAATGTAATTTCCCTGGACTTAATCCTTGCCCCATTTTCTCCTCCAGCTTCTTTATCTGATTAGCTAAAGTAACTCAGAGACATCTGAGAATGCCCTGAGTTGCACCTGAACATGGCTGTTCCAGAGGTTCAGTCTACCCTTCCCAGAGCAAGGGAGTCAGGCCAAATGGCTCAGGGGACAGGAGGAGCGTTTAGAAAAAGATGGAAACTTTGTGGGCCACTGTTTTCAAAAGACTCAATTTGGCCTTTGTGTTTCTAGGGGTTGCTCTGAGACTTGACAAGAGGTGAAATGCCACCAGCCACCCTTGTTCCAGCTCAGTAGAAACTGACAGCATTGAACTTTGGAAGGAAAATCTTATTACCTTGTCTCCTTGGCTCTTTGTCAAGGGGTTGGGAGCTGATTTGTTTACTGTTCATGTAGGCCCTCTAATCTGGGACTTTTTCACTAGCTCTTTTCCACTTTTAGTATTTATCTCTGACTGGAGACTTTCTTTTATACTTAGCAGTAGCTTACTCGAGTGAAAGAATGTAGACTTTAGGTTCACATCCTGGCCCTACTCCCTACCAGCTGTGGGACTTTTGGGACTTTTAACTCTCTTTATACCCTTTTCTTCCTCCCTGGAATGATAACAGAGCAACTCTCCTGGGCCAGTGGGAGGATGTGTGAAACCACCTAGCCCATGATCAGACATGCTCCTTTCCCTCTCCAGCCTCAGTGCTGTGTCTTCCTCCAGGGACCTTCCCAGGTGAAAGTTCTGAGCTTGGGTTAAGCTTGACCTTGCAGGCCCAGCCTGCATGGTCACAGGCTGCTCTCCCCAGGCCTGGAAGCTGCAGCACGGTGAGTACTGGTCAGCTTCTCCACGTCAAGGGCATGCACAGCACTAGGCACAGCAGAAGTGCCAGGCACATGTGTTTGCTGGGTGATTATTACTGAGGAGAGGGGGCCCTGGCCTTGACCTTTGGTTGTCTGCCTGGACCTCGCCTCCTCCAGGAGGCTCCTCTGCTCTCCCTGATGCAGATACACTGTTCTAGTTCAAGCATTTGTCCACCTGCCCTCTCCTCTTTGAAAACAGAAATTCTCTGAGCTCCAGACCTGTGTCTTGTTCTGCTCAATGTCTCTGAGTTCAGAATCAGCCACAGAGGAAGTTGCAAGGACTGCAGGTGGGTCCAGATGAAAGGCAGGAGAGGCCAGGGCCAGTGGGGCTGTTCTCCTGACCACGAGGCCGAGTCCAGTGGATATTCCTGAGGGTGGTGGAGAAAGATGGCCCTGCCCCTGGGAAATCCTCCCAAAGGAAACGGAGATACCCCAACCTCCACAGGCAGGGCAGGGAGCTGCAGTGACTTGGGGCTGGGGGACCTAAAACACGATAGAGTGTTGCCTCCTACCACTTGGACAGAGCATGGGGAGGGTGCCCAGCTCCTCCGAGACACAAGCTGCTCCCTGACATGGCACTAGGTTCCTGGGAACGTAGAGGCTCTTTATTTGGTGTTCTAGAGACTTCAGGTAGCTGGAACATCTCTCAAGGATGCCCATGGGCACATTTGGCTCAATGTCTTCTCTTTTGAGGAGAGGTGGCTCAGAAGGCGGGCAAAACCCTGATCTGTAGCCACTTGCCCTGGTTGCACTCCAAGGGAGGCTGGGTCAGGGATTAGGGGGTGAAGTTACTTAGTAGGGAGGCTTGAATTTCAGCTGGAGTCATCTCTAGCTCCTTAAGCAGCTGCTTGCTTCTAATTCTATTTGGAGGTGGTGAGGGAGTCATCACTGCTTTGGAGCTGCTGTGTGATTTCATTAGTCTGAGTGGCCACTGGGCAGGCCCTTATTGATTAGCCTTTTAGGGACAGTGGGAATTATATGGCAATAAACCCAGGCTCTGGCAGCGGGCACGGCTGTTTCCTAAATGCTGGCTGCAGGGCTGCCAGCTCCTAAAATCCGAGACCCCAGCTCAAGCCTCTTCCCATCTACTAGTCAATCAATAGGTATTTCTGGAGTCCCTGCTACGTAATCAATGCTGATGGTTAGGCTGGGGCAGGGCATTTGCCACCAGGTTTTACAAAGGGGATGTTTGGCCTCTTTCTTGAATTTTTACATTTGTAAATTTCCTGCATTTATCACAAGGAAGTAATCGTTGGCCAAGAGCCATGGAGTAAGTGGAGGTGAATGATGGCGGTGGGTGACAGAAAGCGACTCTGGATAGAAAGTTAGAAGGCTGCCCCCCTCAGGTTGGATGCTTCATGAAGCACTGAAATGGATGTGGCAGTTCTCCTTGTGTGGAGAAGTGGAAAGATTTGGAAGGGGGTTCTCTTTAGGGCGAAGGGGTAAAGGAAAGGGGTGGAGTGATGAGAAAAACAACTAATTCTTTGCGTTGGTTTGGCAGCTGGATTGAAGCAGGCAGAAATCAGGAAGGGGTGTGTCAGTATTGAGACAGTTTTCCAAGGGACAGAAAAATTCCTCCAAAGACAAAACAAAACTAACATTTCATTAATAAGTGAGAGCCAGATAACTTGGAGGCAAAGCATCTAACTTTTTAAAAAAGTACTTTGTACCCAGCAGGTTTTACATTATACATAGAAAGTAGAGACATCATTTGCCTTCCTTATGTTAATAAAGACATGTTTTATAGGAAAAAAGACTGGGAGTAGACTGTGTGCTGTACACCTGCTTCTGCAGGTCACTCGTGTCTGAAGAAGCCTCACATCTCCAGGCACCAGGGCCAGCTCAGGTCGCCCTGTGGCTTGCTGCAGCGGGGCCCAGGCAGTCCTGGTCAGCTCCTCTGGGCTGGGTTTGGAGATGGATTGTAGGAGCTTTCTCCTACACGTATGGTTGACAGCCAAAAACTGAAGAAGCCTGTGTCTGAAGCAGCAAGAGCCCCCATGATAAATCCCAGCCTGGGGTTTGAAGGTCAGAACAGGTTTGGTGGGGATCCAGCCCCGGGGGCGGTGTGTTGAACTGAACGCACCCGTGATGTGGTGGCCCACTTTTATGTAACAGATAGCCTTGTCCTAGGCCCCAGCCCTCTGTGAGGAGAGGAAACCTGATGCTAAGATTCGCTTTCTTTGAAAAGTGGGGGTTTCGAGGAAGTTGGTCGAGAAAAGACTAGCAGTTTTGTCCTCCTGTTTGTGTGGATTCTGGGATTCCTCAGGTGTAGGGGGAACTCGTTCCTTTGCACAACTTCCAGTGGCTTCCATTGCTTGGGCAATGTGAGAATCGAACAGCGTCCTCTTGGGGCCCCAGGGCCAGGCTATGAACGGTGATATTCTCCCTATAGCTGACCATTTTATGCTTCAGGCATGGATCCCTACTGCACTTACAGCACATATCTTTGTTCTGTCTTTTGCAACAAGAAATGACATGGCTTAAATTTGTGAACTGAACCCTTACCTGTAGGGTCGAAGATGGGAGTCTGCCTTGGTATGTTTTCCCAGGACTTTGGCTCCTTGCTTATGTTTCTCTCAAACAGATTTCTTGATTTGGGTTCTTCAGTCTGGGGCACCTTGTCCTCCCCACTGACTGGAACAGAGAAGATCCCATGGGCTGAGTTAGGTGAGGCTCAGTGTCAGGGGGGACAGGAGTTTGTACTGGGGAGGGTGGGAGAGAAAGTCAGGCTTAGGTTAGGGAGGGGTGGTGAGGCCATGGGTTGCTGGGTTTGGAGGACGCAGTGTCAGGGGCAGGGTGCACTCACTGGTGAGGTAGCAGTCCAGACTGATGGAGATATTGTCAAAAGCCACGGTGGCTCTGGATCCTTGCCCCCACCATGCGACCATCTGCAGCCAGAACCTGTCCATGGCAAGAGGAATGCGTGTGAGGACACAAATGATGGCCTGGCTCAGAACTTCAGTTTTTACCAACCTTCCCTAACCCAAGGGCCGTGGCAAGAGGACAAGGCGACCTCTCCCTGACCTCTCTAGCAGAGCACCTCCCTTTCTGCAGGACTTTCCATCCCTCGAATGGCTGACATCTGGCCCTTAAAACCAATCTGAAGTTCGAGGCCTGACACTAGCACTCCTCGATAACTCAAGGAGGCCTCCTTCTTTGCTTTTTGGGTGAACAGGGTAGGCGCATGTGGTGAGCTTGATATTCAGCGTATGCTCACCGATAGGCCCAACGTCATCACTGAAAGATTTAAATGCTTCTGAACCAAATGATAAAGACCTGCTCTCCCTGGAGTGCTCCCTGCTGACTGCTTCAGACAATCAGAGTCTTTCTCTGGTGGCCTCTGGGTTTCCCTATTAGCCAGGAACCAAGGGGTCTCCAGCGTCCTGGCTTTTGTCTAGCAGCAGTTAAATATTCAATGATTTGACTATTACCTCTGGGCTGTTTGTAACTAACCCAGGGCCATGAAGTACTAACAGCAATGCCTTGAGATAATGCTTCTTTCCAGCTTCTTCATAGCCTTTGAGGGCCAGGTCCTAAGACTGTGACTAGGGAAAGCTTAGATTGAGATAAACAGAAAGAAATATCTTTGGTTCATTTGTTTTCTGGGAAATAACCCTCCTGGAAGGTTATCAGTCAGCCAGCTCTTTCCTGTGATAAAGCAAGGGTGTCCCGAGATACCAAAAACCTTTCCCACTCTTCAGAAATTTGTTCCAAAAAGGCCTGCAGAATAGTGTGGAGTCTCTGGTGCGGACGTGAAAATATTGAGAGGGAAGCCACGCCCATCAATTGGTGACTGGATAAAGCAGGTGAGGTATAAAGCTACTCTGCGATAAATAAGGGAGCAAGAGACATGCTATAAAATAGATGGATCTCAGAAACATTATGCTAAGTTCAAGAAGGCAGGTAGTGAAAGATCTCATTGTGAAGGATTCTGTGCATAGAAAACCTCTAGAAGGGCAAATCTGCTGAGACAGAAAGCAGATTAGTGGTTGCCTGGGGCTGGGAGTAGGAACAATATTGACTACAGACAAGTACGAGGGCTCTTTTTGGAGTGATGGAAATGTTCGAAAATTGGATTGTGGTATTCTTTGTACAATTCTATAAATTTGCCAGAAGTCATTGACTTCTATATTTAAAATGGTACATAAATTATAGCTGGATAAAGCTGCTAGGAAAAAAGAAGATAGAAATAGAGACAGAGAGGTAGAGACAGAGAGACAGAGACAGAGACAGAGGGAGACAGAGATAGAGACCAGATAACATGAGGAAAACCAAGCACTGGTGCCCTGACAGTGTGAAGAAAGCAGGGCAGGGAGAGGACAAGGGGAAGAAACAGCTGTTAGTGGAGGGAGGACGGCGCAGAAGCAGTGTGAGGGGAGAGCGTGTGCTCCCAGCGAAGGAACAAAGCTTTAGCCGGTGAGCAGACCAGAACCTGGCGGGAAGGCCCGATGCTACAGGAGCAGGTGAGCCCTGGTCACAGCGTGCAAAGGACAGACGCTGCCTTGCAGGAAAGCAGGCCTCGAAGGCAAAACTAAATTTTCCTCTGAGCAGCAGCTTTGTGATTACTCTGAACGTAACTATTTCCTAAGTCCGCGTCTTCACCCATCTTGTGAAATCTGGTCACACACAGTCCTTTGTGTGTGAAAGTCGCAACTGGGCCCACATTTGCTCTGATTAAAAGAAGAAAGGCCTGAATCTGCTGTGTCCGCTGTCAGCCAGCCTGGTCCCTTCAGGCCACATTCCCCACGTTCCCCTGATCTCTCCCCAGAGAGATGGGATCAGCAAGGAGGGGTCTGGGTTGGCTGGGTGTGGAGGAGGAGTTCTGGTTCTGTTCTGGGACACTTGGGGACGCTGGAGGAGGCCATGTGAGGGATGACAGCATGGACCTGCCCACCCTCTGAGCTCAGGCACTGAGAGGAGGTTTCATTACTGCCTGGGTGCCACTTGGCTTCATTTCAGACCCAGCTGCTCTGTGCTGGGCCCAGCTTTAGGCCAAGGGGGATTCTAAGGGAAATCAGGCAGCAGCATGGCATTCAAGCTGCTCGCCATCCAGCAGAGAGATGGTGCAGATGAAGTAGGAGAGGTGGGAGCTGTCTATCCAGGCTGACCTGGAACTTGAGATCCTCCTGCCTTAGCCTCCTGAGTTGAGTGTGCCACTGTCCCCAGATTTAAATCACCTTTGAAGGTGGGGTAGGACTCTGGGATGTGGGCGTGGGGTGGAGGCAGCATGGTGGGGAGAAGGACATGGCAGCAGGGCAGGGAGGGGCCTGTTCTGCTCAGGGGGAGGGGCGTGGAAGGAGGTGACGAAGGTGGAGCAGGTGGAGGCCTGCTGAAGAGGGACCGGCATCAGAAATGAGAGCTACCATGGGCTTCCAGGAAAACAAAACCAAAGAGCTCTTTCAGGGTAAACATGGTGGGATCAGTAAGCGGGGAGGGGAACAATGAGAGGAGGCAGGGCCCACCCCAGAGGCCCTTCCCCACCCGCACACAGTCACTGACTTGCTCCTCAGGCCTTGGCAAGAGCACAGCCCTCGCCCAGGTCTCTGCAGTGAATGTGGGCCACGGACGGGCTCTGGCTTGAGCTGTGCAGGCCCGGACGAAGCCCAGGCTGGCACTCTCACCTGGAAATCCAGGGCCCTAACACTGCTGTCGTGTTCTCCTTAAAGCAGAAATAAGCCTTAGGGACATGTTGGCAAGAGAACAGACACTTAGAGCTCCTCAGAGGGGTGAGGAGAAAGTATAGCACCGTGCACACACCTGTACTTCCAGCTACTCACAAGGCTGAGGCAGGAGGATTTCAAGTTTGAGGTCAATCTGGGCAACTTAGCAAGACTTTCTCCAAAACAGAATTTAAAAAGGGCTGGAGATGTCGCTCAGCACTCCCTGGGTTCAATCCCAGTACCAAAAACAAACAAACAAGCAAGCAAGGAAGCAAACACGAAGCCGTGTTCCCATGTGGAAGTGTCATGAAGGCGCAGCTGCCCGCTACTCTGCACTGTGGTGGGCAAGGCCCCCCCAGCAGCCCACCTTCCTCATTCTTCAGCCCCGGTCACTGTCCACTGGCTAAGGGGCCAGGTCAGATGCTCAGCAGTGCTGAGCAGTCAGCCTTCCAGGAGAACCCGTGGTGCTGAGCAGGGCAATGCCCGGTGGCTCAGGGTAGGAAGAAAACCCCTGCAGTGCCCTCCACAGGCCCTGCTTCCCCCTCCATCTGCCTTCACTTCTGTTACTGAGAGATGGGAGCTGGTTCTCAGCGGCCACTGGGCCTTTTAGCATGGCTGTGATGATGCAAACTGGGGCTGGTTTCTAAAGAGAAGTTTCTGAAGTGTTCTGCGAGGCAACGGCAGTGGCACCTGCTGTTTAAAAGCCTTTGACTGACGCTGGGAATTGCACGCATTTTGAGTCAGGAGCACTCATAACAATCAGGGGAGACTCGCTCATGTGGCACAATGGACACACATGATGCCATCTCTGTTCCATCCAGGGGCCCCACTGCCAACACTTCCCCAATGGGCCACACTTGAGAGGCTCAAGGAAGGGCCAGGTGGGATGAGGATGGGCCAAGCAGTGTGTGGGCGGATGGGATGAAGCAGAGCCGGTCTGGGGATGGGCTCTGGAGTGGTGGGTGATGCGGGGGGTACAGCAGCACCAGTCTAGGAGCTTCTTTTCAGTGGAGCACTGGCCAAGAGACCAGGTGGCCATTGGGCCCACCTAGATAGAAGGTTCTCTGCTGCGGATGGCACCTAGGACCTTCTCCTTAGGTGATGAAGAAGCTGGTCCTGGCTTTGCCTACCCTCTCCCTGCTGGAGATGGGCCAGACTTCCTCAAGTCTCTGAGGCTGGTCCAGTCACTCTGTGCGGCTGAGTTTCCCAAAGGTAGAGACGCCAAGCCACTCTGCACTGTCAGCCGTGGCATCAGCCTGAGTTCTAGCACCTCCCAGGTGGACTAGTCATTTTGGGACCCAGATAAAGCTGTAACATGCTGCAGGTAGACCACTCTGGGACTGAGGGAAAGCAGGGTCCATGCCACATTATTGCCAAGACTGCAGGGACCAGATGGTTTTAACAAACATATAAGCTACTCTGCTGCTTCAATCTGAAAGTCTTTGCTCTGGGTGGAGAAAAGGAAGCAGAGTCCCCATGGCTAGAAGAGGCTTCTTCTTCCTCTCTGTAGGCAACATGGCCAAAGACAAGGCAGAGTGAGCTCTTTGGGTTCATCCTATGCCCCACTGATCTGTGCTATCTAAACACATGATAGGTGAACCTCCTCTTTCCTGGCCGTGGAAATTTCTCTCCCTTCCCCTTAACATACCTGCTTAGCTGCTTTGGCTTCTCCAAAGTGGATACTTCTCATTGCCTAGGTTATTGTTGCTTTTTCTTGCCCGGGGGGTTTGAAGCTTGCTGCTAAACCGACTTGGCTAGAGATCTTGGTTGGAGCCTGGCTTTGCACAAAGGATGCATCCACTCTGAGTGTGTTGTTCAGCTTTACAGAGAAGCCTGTTGAAAATCGGCCCAGGAGATGTCGGGAGGTGGCCATTTGGGCAATGGGCCAGGTTTAGAGGGGCAGTTTTGGAACTGGGTGTCTCCCAGGGCCACTGGAAATGTGGACGCTGCTCATCCACAGCTCAGAAAATGTACCATCTCATCCAGGCAACAGACTGTTAATGGATGGTGAATCTAAGGCCTTATTTGCCACCCTTCCAGCCTGAGGGATAGACAAACCTAATTACGTTCATTTACTGATTTTAAGTAGCTGACAAAAAGGCATGTGTCTGAATGTGGAGTGAGGGGACAGCAATGCTTTGGAGAGGGCAGGAAAGAAGGGCTGGACAGGGTCAAGGGCATTTAACGTATGCACACTGTGTCTCAGATTCCTCCACTGGCCATTTAGTGGGCTTGGAAGGA